CCCCAAAACCCCAAAACCCCAAAACCCCAAAACCCCAATATGTATGGTTTACCCTAACTTAAATAAAATATTCGTGTTTTCGTATTAATAATGGAGAAAATCACAGAAGAGAGAAAGAAAGAGATCAAGGAGATCCAGAAGGTCAGAGATGAGCTTCTAGAAGAAGACCCAGAGCTACAAGACTTCTTCTCACATCCACTCAATTCCATCCAGATCACACCTGAATTACTTGCTAATCCAGCATATCAAGGAATTCAATCGCTGATTTATGATGGAGAGCCTGAAGAGATCGCTCAGAACTTCTTGAAAGCAGGAAAGGAAAGACTTAAGGAGGCTACAGAAGAGCAGGATCCAAAGAAGTCAGCCTTAAAGCTGGCAAATGCTATGAATTGCTTGTAAGGATATCTACCTTTGTCAAATTTATTGCCTCGGCTGTCATTCTAACACTGTTATAGTACCAAAGGAATTGCTGAAGAGTGCAAAGACAAAGAAATCAACTATGAACTTCACTTACTAATGGCTAGGTGCGAGTTCCAGCAAAAGAACTATGGCAAGTTAAAGGAGCATGTAGATCAAGCTCTCAAGAATAAAGAGACAGCCCAACTTTATTATTACGGGGCTATCAGCAGGTTAAACACTGAGAAATGGGATGACTGTGTAGAGTACTGAAAAGGATGTCTGAAAATAGAAGATAGCCACGAGAAATGTAGAGAGCTTATGAAAATTGCTCTCGTGAAACAGATGAAAGAAAAGAAGAAAATGGAAGAAATGGCATTGATTAATAAATTAGAGAATGAAAAGATGCAGAAACTTTATTATCTTATCAAGAGTTATGGCATCAAGATCGGAAGCAAACTTCATTTCCTTCCTGAAGACATTGGAGCAAATTTATACATTGATGAGTATAATATTTTACACTTCCCAGTTATAATTCTGTATGATGAATTCATGCAGTGAGATTTTATTCAAGATTTTGGGATGAATACTACTTTCAGAGAGCAATTGTCTCAAGTCCTTTCACAACCAGCACCTTGGGACCCAGAACATCGCTATAAGATAGATGCAGTAGATGTTTTCTATGAAACTAATATCACAGCACCTCTTGATGCTGATGAGAAAATAGTTGAAGGTGATAAATATGTCAAGGTAGACTTAGACTCTGAACTCCTCCCAGTTCTGCAAGATGAGAAGCATGTTGTTCCTCAGTATCCCATCTTCGTAGTAGTAGCAAAGGATTTCAAAGATTATGCGAAATATACAAGTTAGTGAAGTGTAAATTTTATCTATATATTTTCAAGAGCTTTATCCTTAATAGGGGTTTTGGGGTTTTGGGGTTTTGGGGTTTTGGGGTTTTGGGG